ACTCGCTGCGCACTTGCCCCTTCTTTCATTGTTCGTCAAATCGTTTTCCACTTTTTCTGTGGAATAAATATACACTTTGCATACGTTTTGGGGAGGTTGTGGTGGTGGTCATGTGCTAGAGTTGGTTCCAACTCACAGAGACACCTGTGTAGGGTTTCCGAGGCTGTAAATCATTACGGGAGCAGAAAGCCTCATCTTTCTCCCATGGAACCACAGGTTGTTTTGAACTGCTGACCTTGAGGTTAGGAGCCTGACTAATAACCACTAAGCTACCAGAGCTCCTTTTTGGGGGAATATTAAGAAGCAATGTAATGTTTACTTATCTGGTGAGGTGCTGTGGGCTAATGCCCTAGACTGCAAGGTCAGTTTGAAGTGTAGGGTCGGTGGTTCAAGCTCACCAGCCACTCCTTGGAAACCCTATACAGGGTCATTATTGAGTCACAATCGACTCAATGGCAGTTACAATTTGGGGTCTTGGTGTGGCACTGTGGATCGATATGGTGGACTGCAAAGTCGGTTTTAACCGCAAGGTCAGTAGTTCAAGCTCACCAGCCACTCCTTGGAAACCCTATACAGGGTTATTAACGATTGGCACCGACTTGATGGCACATTACAACATACTAAGCTTGAATTAACATTTTTTTAAAAAAGCAGGCAAAATCCTGTTTTCATTAGCCTTCTTTCTACATACTTCCCCTTACAGCCCCCCATCTACCTGATGAATCTCAGGCTGTTTTTTCTTTCACACATAGATGCAGCACACCCAAGAACACAATGTTTCCTTTTGTAACTTACCGGCTGCTTTGTAATCCACCAAGAGAATACCCATCTCATTTCTCCTACACTGGGATGTGTTAGCCAAGTACAGTGAGCAGCCACCTCAAATCCTGCCTTCTCCCTTTCACGGTGCTCAAAGGGTATGTGGCCTGGATAACTGAAGACCTGCGTTCCAGATCAAGTCTACAGAAAGACATCCCTAAAACGCGTGTCTGTGTATACATCCGCTAGCAGTGCCTCAAAGCGGCTCTCCTTTCCCTTCTCACACTTGACCACAGAGGTCTCTCACCCACCAGAAACCTTTGGTCCATGTCCTGTGTTTCAAAACCTTCGGGAAGGAAGGCAAACAAGAAAACTTTTAAGTGCTGGTCAATAATACTGCCTTTAATGAGCCCTTCCTCCCTCCCACCCCAATCTATTACAAAGTGCATTTCCAACAAAAACTGCCAAGTGTCCAGGTATACAATTTGGTTTTGGCTCAACTGTATGCAAATAGTAACCTGAATAACAACCCGGCAGAACATTTCCATTTGTACTCAAAGAATAAGACTAATCAAGAAGATTTTCAATCACAAAAATTTATTAGGATACAATTCTATAAGAAAATGTCAACCAACAGCTTGAAGGAGAAAAAGGGAATATAAATTTTAATATTTATGATTACATCTAATTACGGTATCTCAATCCACTAGATATACTTAACTGATATAACTTTGTTTTTAAATATCAGTATGTTACATTGGAAATTACTTTTCTCTGCTATTTAAACTTAGGATGAAAGCATCAATGGAAATCATGTAAGTTTTATAACTTATGACCAGAGATCTCTTGTAGGGGCTGTCTGTCCACTGCTGAGGGCTGTCCACAAGATGGCCAAATCCCCTCAGCTAAACCACTGGCTCTAGGTCATACATAGATGTAGAATTGCTAGCTCACTGGGAAGGGGATTTTTCATTATTTATTGCTTACTATGTGCCAAGTTAGGAGCTCTGGGAGAGTAGTGGTTACAAATCAGGCTGCAAAACTTTAAGGTCAGCAGTTTGAAACTACCAGCTGTTCTGTGGGAAAAATATGAGGCTTTCTGCTCCCATAAAGGTTTACAGCCTCAGAAACCCTGTACAGGGTCGCTATGAGTTGGAACCACGGCACATAACAATAATATGCCAAGTTTGGAGTCCTGGTGTGGTGCTGTGGGTTAATACGCCATTTGAACTGCAAGGTTGGTGGTGGTTCAAGCTCACCAGCTGCTCCTTGAAAACCCTATACAGGGTCACTATGGGTCAGAACAGACTCAACAGCACTTAACAACGTATGTATGCCAAGTCAGTGAGTAAACACCAGAGAAGAATGGATGCATTTGAGTTATGGTGTTGGCGGAGACTATTGAAAGCCCCACGGACTGCCAAAAGAACAAACCAATCTACGGTTTTGAAGACGTAGAGTCTGAATGATCAAACTTTGTCTCTTACACTTAGGACATATTGCCAAGTCGGTTCTAAGCACTTTCTGTGCATTGTTGTTGTGTACTGCCGAGGTGATCCCGACTCATAGCAACCCTGTATAAGGTTTCCACAGAGTCGGGAAAATATGGAACTCAAAGTTATTAAAAATAAAGTTAGTAAAAAATAAAGATGGGGCTTACTGGTCAGAGAGAGACTGGAAGAATCTGAGTCTCAACGCCCCTTCAGGTCTGGAAAGGAACTCCTTTCTCTTGGCCCAATTTTCAGTCAAGCAGTAGACAGGTATAGAGGGGAGACACCACCACTAATAAGGTCTGCTCACCATGGACAAAAGGACAACATGTTCCGAAGGACAAAGTGGAGAGGGGATGGGAAGGAGGGTGGGCTGGAACTAGGAACCCCAGGGAGAATTTGTTACGTGAGGAGGTTGCAGTCACTGAAATGAAACAAAGGGTAGGATTTGTTCAAAGTAAAACTGACTATCTGCTCTATAAACCTTCACTCAATTCACATAAAAAGTTAAAAAAGAAAAAAAAAAAAAAAACTTTGACATTTAATACATATCTTAGATTTTAGAATGTCTGATACATGTTTGTACAGTTTTAGGAAGAAAAAGGTCTTTTAAGATAAACACAAACTATTCAATGGCTACCTCTGCAAATTGGTTGAGGGGGAAAAAATTCTCTTCTATAAAGTGAAGCCACACCCTGAAAAACAAGACAGAGTCCAATCCAATTGTGAGAGGCCCCCCAGGGCTGTTCTCCTGTGTCCCAGAGGCTCACTAAGAGAACTCGGTATGGGAGCCCCCCGGAGCTGTTCTGTCCTAGAGGCTCACTAAGAGAACTGGGTGTGGGAGCCCCCCGGAGCTGTTCTGTCCCAGAGGCTCACTAAGCTCTCCGTGATTACAGTGGGATGGCTTCCGTGCGTCAGGACATCCTAATTAGAGTGAAGCAAATTACATTTCTGCAAGCTGAAAATGGTTTTTCACCAATCCTATGCCAGATTAATTGTCGTTGTCAACTATTAAAGCAGAAAATTGTAATTAAAAAAGAGTCCACAAAATTTCCTGTTCTAGTTTACAGTAACTATAGCAAACTTACCTGTATGTCAGTATTTAATAGACTAATAATTAGAATATATAAGCTTTTTGCTTATATAAGGAAAACAGAACCTAGAAATTTAAGTTTTAAAAAAAAGGTCATTTTTTTTCACTAAGCAAACAGGATAGGTCTTACTAGAGTCTACTCTAGGGAAAGACACCGCTGGCTGGCAGACCCTTGTCTTCATCTCTCACGGCTACTTTGGTTCTTAATGTGACAAATGTGACAGGCTCTATTAGCTCAGTGGATTATGCATTGGCTGTTAAACTGAAAGGTCAGCAGTTCCAATCTACCAGCTGCTCTCCAGAAGAAAGATGAGGCTGTCTGCTCCTGGAAAGATTTCATCTCGGAAAAGCACAGGCGCATTTCTACTCTGGTCTGTGGGGTCACCCGGAGTCAGAGCCGACTCAGTGGCCCCAAGTGAGTGGCTCAGCTCCATATATGTACTATCTCCTTCAATCTCGGAAAGTCAGTTCCAACTCATAGTGATCCTGTTTAGAGTTCCCAGCAGTGGCTAGTGGCTTTGAACCACCAAGCCGACCTTGTAGTCAGCAGTTCAGTTCTTATTCTACAGTACCACACAAAAACTCCCTTTCAATTTTACCGCTCCCACACCAATATGCATTTAATATGAGAACTGCCTTTATAATCGTACCAATCCCATATTAAATACTTTGCTCAAATCACTTAAAGGCAGCTCTAATAAACTGAACCAAGGAGGCCTGGTGGTGGTGATGGTGGTGTTCGAGTCGGTTCCGATTCACAGTGACTCTTAACGGGTTTCCGAGGAGCAGCTGGTGAGTTTAAATCACCAATCTTGTGGTTCCAGCAGACTTTATGGTGGGGAGCTTATTCTACAGCACCACACCAGGCCTCCAGTGCCACATCAGGTTAGCACTGGACTGCTCATTACAAGGTTGATGATTCAAATCCATCAGCTATGTTCCTCAGAAACCCTAAGTAGGGTTACTGTGAGTCCGAACCTACTCAATGGCACGAAGCAAA